AGCCAAAGACTCACAGAGAAAAATAAACAGGACAAAAAGGATTATAATGTTTGTCTTTACTAAGAGACAACTCATAAAACACTCTGCACAAGAAAGTAGACCTCATAAAGCTGGTGACTGCACTGTGTTTTAGCTTATAGCTCACACTGAACACGTGCATAAATACTTCTGCGAAAGGGAATCGAACGCTCGATGAGTAACTCACTCCTGCAGCTGCCGTCCGGCTGCAGCGCGTACCCGTCCACGCAGTAACACTTGTAGCTGCCTGGCGTGTTCATGCAGCGGTGTTTGCAGGGCCGAGGCTTCACGCCACACTCGTTCAGATCTGAAACTCACACACAGAAGGAGTATTAAACATAAAACTCCTCCCTGTTTTCACTCATCTTGTCAGCCTGCGGGATTAACCTTTGACCTTAAGCGCTGAGCATTTTAAATAAGTGTGTGTTTGTAAAAACACCTCTTGCTCTGAGACAAAAAGTGCATTCCAGGTGGAACAAATCACCCACTCCTCAGGTAAACACCTGGTTTAACCCTTTATTACCACAGGCTCAGTAGCAGGGCCATTTTACAAGCGCTCTTTAAATTTCCATTTGTGCTACAGACAAACTTGAGTCATCTTTGGAAAGGAGAGAAGACGAGCTTTATGCTGACAGTTGATTTATCGTGGCAGCACAGAGGAAAATCAGCTCCAAATAGATTTTGCCATGTGCGCTTCACATTTTGGGCTCGAGAGAAAACTGAAATGGTTCCTGAAAGAAGAGAATTATTTTATAATTTTGCAATTTTGTGTGTTAAAGTTATCTAAATGAAAGGAAGGCAGAGTGGTGTGCTCTGAAGTGTTGGAGAAACATCTGAGTTTAGATAAACTCAGGACTGAAACCATCATAAGCAGGACGGTCGTCATGGCTTCAAAGGGCTTTTTGAGGTCTCTCAGTGAGTGTCCTCTCAAAGACAGAAGTCCAAACACACACGCTGTGTGACAGAGTGTCTCTGGGGGGGTCTCCAGATGCTGTTTTATGGTCAGGATATGAGTCATAATGAAGCCTCTAATCAGGACATTAACACTGTGTGTGGGTGGAGTAGGCCTAAGATTAGAAACAGTAGTTAGAGTGTGTTAGTTAGAGTGTGTTAGTTAGAGTGTGTTAGTTAGAGTGTGTTAGTTAGAGTGTGTTAGTTAGAGTGTGTTAGTTAGAGTGTGTTTGTGTGTTTTGGGGGTCTTCAGGTAAAACACGCCCTTGCAGGTCAAACAAACATGACAGGAATGCATCTGTTTTGTTGAGGCAAAACAGATGCATGATGGGCAATCTGATCTCTGTGAAACCAGGAGTCCACATCTGGATCAGCTCCCTGCAGATGTGCTGAAGAGTTCTCACTTTGTGAGCTAACTTTATGAGCAATCTCCTATTCTGTCAGGTCATTAAAAGGCAGTTTTATATCTATCTTAATTTAGAAACACGCCTGTGAGGTTCACTGCTGCACTGCTCATGCACTGAGGTTAATTTAGAAGCAGATCCACAGTCAAGTTTTAACATGCATATATATTAACATACAATTAGGTCCAATTTGTTGGACAAAGACACAGCTTTCGTACTTTCTTCTCTGTACCCACACACACTAGCAAAAATCACACTAGCAAGATGTGACTGAAGTACAGATTTCTGGCTTTAATTCAAATGGGTTTAACAAAAGTGCTCAGGAATCACAGCCATTTTTACCCAGTTGACTGACATCAACTGCTTGGAAGGCAGCTATGCTAACCACTATACTTCCAACATTCACAACCACCAAACAAACATGAATGAATGACTAAAGGCAAAGGCTTCACAACAAGGTGCAAAACACTGGTTAAATTCAAAAACATGAAGGTGAGATGAGACATTTTTATCAGAATGATGGAGGATAGAAACGGGCCATGATCCAAAGCACCACAGTATCTATCTCTGCCATGGTGTGGCATGGCCAGTTTAAATAAATGTGATATTCCTTATTAACAGCAACACAGCTTCTGTGCATCTCTCATATCTAAATGTAACACCTGCATTTAATTACAAATGCATAAAAATAGAGAAGTTGGTGCAGTTTGAATAGGTACGCCTGAACCTGGTGTACTCTGTGCTGAGTAAAAAGACATACCTTGGTTACACGCCTTTCCCGTGTATCCTGGGTGACATTTGCACTGGTCTGGTCTCACACACTCTCCATGTTTACAGCCCTGCTGGCAGTGAGCTGCACACACACACACAGGGTGTTAACATACACTGAATCATGTACAAACATATGTCAGGCTGACTGGCTGCAGATCAGTTTTCAGTCCTAAATGAAATAACACACTCCGGTCTCTGCAGCTGCTCCTTCAGTGTTTAAACCCTGAACAGATTCACAAAAACACAGTTAAAGCTGATTTCCTTCCTTCCAAGCAGCTGCTGGTTTAACAAAGAACCATCAGTCAACACAGTCCAGTTTATTTGTTGACTGGTTTCCATCACCAGTCTGACTGTGGTCCCCCATTGAAACAAATGTAAAATTTCTCTAACCAACATGCTGGTTTTGCTGAGGATGCTAGCTTGCTAGCATTAGCTGACAGCTGATCACTGAACCCTAGGGTTGAAATACCGTCATGTCTGACCTCACAAACCAACAAATGCCTGGTCACAAAAGCTAAAACTGAAGCTTAAAAATATGCAGGTTAAAAAAAAAAACTACAAGTGACATCACTGTATCGACTGCCTTCTTCTATATACAGTCTGTGTCTTTAACAGCTTTCAGCAGTCGCATTAAGTAGGTTGAAAGGAAAGTCCACTGGCTGATCAGTTGGTTAGGGAGGATTTTAGACTGACTTCACTGAAAGGAAGTATAAATGTGTGTCCTTACGTTCACATCGCCCCCAGTCCAACTGTTTCCAGCCCCAGCAGCACTCCACGCTGTTTCCATAGCGACAGAGTCCACGGGACAACGTGGCCTGGTCCGCCCAGCTGCAAACACACATGAACACACAGCATGTTTGAGGATCATATCATGTTGTTAGGATTGGGGCGTTGTGGGGGGGGTGTTGCTGCCTGCACGGGGTCATGTGACCCTGTGGCTGAACAGAAATCCAATGAACTGTTAGGACAACAAGACAACACACAGAAACAATCTGAGGGAGAAATATGACTTGAGGCTTTAAAAAACTACTCTGTGGCTCCATGACTTTTTTATGTCGCCTGTACTAGTTGAGACCGGCTGGAGAGAGAGAGAGAGAGAGAGAGAGAGTGTGTGTGTGTGTGTGTGTGTGTGTGTTATTGACATCTCCTGTTTCCTGGTGCCTGTCTGAACATGAACTATATCAACCATAGAGGAGGGGAGGGTGCTGTGCGTGCCTTTTTTCCACTCCCTCCACATACTTTCCCCTCTTCATCATGTCCTCCTCAGTGTTCCCTTCATCATTCCTTGCTAGTTATTTTTTAACTCTGGATTTCTTCTTCCTTTCTTCTCAGGTCTCTCCCCTTAGAAATGAATTCACGGTTTTAGTTGCTGTCTTTTAGTTAAAATGTACTTTAATTGCACAGACTTTAAAGTATTTGACTTGTTTGCCTTTTCTTCAGCACTGCTTCTGAGCCAAACCCTTTAATTAGAAACAAGACCATGCAGAGAGGAAGAAGACGCTCGTGTTTTGCACAGGTGTGCGTTACTGTGACCACTGAAAAGCACCAGACAGTTGAAATGTATCATTGTGAGCAAGATTATTTAGAATTATCTGTTTACATTTATTTTTAAAACATGTTTTCAATGAAATTACCTTAAAAAAAAGCTTAACCAGTTAAAACGAAAGAGAAATTCCTGACCTGTCGTGGTCCAAGCGCTGGCCCCGTGTCCACAAACAGAAGCAAGACAGGAGAACTATGGTCAACATCCTGCGGTTTTAACCCGGGACACTAACACTAGCACGGCCCGGGTTAGTCAAGCAGCTCGCTCCAAATATCTCGGATTTCGGCAGGGAACCGGTACCCGTGCAAACTTACACAGTGCGTAAAATAAAATAAAAAACCGAGACATTCAAAACATGCAGTTGGTTAAAAAAAGGCTCATCAAAAGTGCAAAAAGTCGCTGAATCCAGTGAGTAAAACATAAAAATAGATCAAAAACGACATGTAGCATCACACAGCTGCGATGCTAAATGTGAGAAAAATGAATCAAAAGCCGCTAAATCATTGCGCTTCTCACTGCCCTGCGCGCGAGCAGGCGCGAGAGAAAGAGAGCCGGGAGAGTGTGCTCGCGCACTTGAATTGGACTGTGTGGAGTCGCGTGCCGGGGAACAACCCGACAGACATTCAGACAGCGCGCGAGCAGGACGTTTAGAGTCGTTAACACGAAGACGGATTTGTTTCTTTAACCCCCCACGCGCTCTCTGTTGATGCATAAACACAGATGGACCGTAGGCGCGTGGGGTTAATCATTCTCGTCCGTTTTCATGAACATCTTGCACCAATCAGAGCCTTTCACTTCATGAAGCTGTTCCCCTGTGACGTCATGTTCTTAGGCAGTCAGGCGCGACCAAAGTTACAATGTTAATAAATAATTACTGATACTTTTTTTTCTCACTGCTGTCGCTACTACTATTATTATTGACGGTAGTACTAGTAATAACAACAAGAACAATAATAATAACAGTGTTATTTTGTCATCAACATTTTAACTGCTGTAAAAATAATTTAGGCAATATGGAATAAATAAAATACGGTTGACACTGTGTTACTCTATATAAATATTTAAGATATTAACATAGATGTTTAAATTCTGATAAGAATATATAGTTTGCAGTTTATGACCCTCGTATATGTATTCATGGATAAATAAAAACAAAGGGATAACTCAATGAAAGTATGGCAATTTTATAATAGTTATATTTGAAGTTAAATGACCTCATTAGTGATAATTAAGGATGCGGTTCATGTTTACAATTAGCTGGTACAGCTGTCAGGAGCTGGCTGGTTTGTTGTTTTCTTTTGGAGATTACAGTCTTTGTAAAATCTGTGAGTTATATAAGAACCTAAAATACCAGAGCTACAGTTTTATATGTGTGTGTGTGTGTGTGTGTGTGTGTTAACATCAGTAATTACATTAGCTACAAATATGCCGTTATGTATGTTACAAAGTTTCCTCAGTTGTCTGTATGATGAGCAGATAGAAAGAAAAAAAGCTATTAAGTGCTACAATCAGCAGATTTCAGCTTGTGTACAGGTAGGACACAGAGGTCTGTAACCTCTTTGGAGTAGACATAAGGACACTTTAATTTGTATTGCTCAAATGGACAAGAGTGGGAAAACTATTGAGTAATTACATAAGGAAAGGAATGTAGCATTCATTTTTTAGAGTAACATCCTGAACACTCACAATAAGTCATAAACCTTCAAGCAAGGGGGTCAAATTCACTGTGGACCATCAGCTGCATACAGACCAGTTTTGGTCGGCTTTTGGCTAGACCAGTAAAAAAAAAAAAAACTGAGATAACCTTTATGCAAACATCTTGGTTGGTTTGTGAAAAGCATCTTTAAATATTTCCAACAATCTAAAATTAAATGCAAAGTCATCAATATGTCTGACTTTTTCCACATTCAGTACTGGAAACAACCCAAGGAGAGCCATCAGCACAGATCCCTGCAGTGTGGTGCAGCAGATCATGGGTAAAGTCTGTCACAATATCTTAACAGTTCAAAAGATTCATCCAGTGGGCTGGTTTACTTCCTGTGGGCTAAATGTTTGACACCGCTGCCTTACATGGTTAAACTGTAACTGACAAGTTGGTTTTTTTTGTTTGTTTTTGTTTTTTTTGCTTTAATCCATCATTACAAAGTAAATAAAGCAAGTGAAGTCAGCGCATATTGACTCACACATACACATGTGTGAGTCAATATGACTCACACATGTGAAACTGGGTTTGCATAGTGAATACCAATACAATATTTCTTAATTTTTTAAAGCCTTGATCGGTAGAGAATTAAAAATGTAGAGAGGGAAAAACTCCACTGAGTTAATAGTAAATGTTTAAAGATCAGTGCAGTAACAGCAGCCACCACCAGAGGGCAGTGAAGTGTAGCCATCTCTATGTAAAACAG